AAGATATGAGTAAGAAATAATAAGAAATAAAATAACGTTAAATAAATTGCGATTTCAGAGAAGAAAATCTTTACGGCAATCTCTGGAAATCGCCTGTTTTTCGCTCGGCGCATCAACCGAATATATTTTCTATTGCGGCAAATTGCTTCGTAGAAAGCGAGGATATATTTCATGCCTGCTGGCTGCGTGCAAAAGGCTCGCAAGTGAACTATAATGAACACCGATGGCGGTGCCGATTGTTTCGCGGTGACATAAAGGCGTCGCATTGTCTCCCGTTTAGCAAGAAAGATCGCGACGGGGATAATTATCAAATACGGAATCGTGTCTCAATTCCTTGCTTGATTGTGAGTCTTGATATTTATTCGTTCCTCATGTACGAGTGCCACAAGTAAATTACAAGACAGAGATGAGAATATTGTATTAACAATAGGATATAAGTGTCACGTGCGTTACGCAAGAACAGTGCGGAGAGAGGAAGGGACAAGTAAAATAACAGTTTCTCTCGCGGAACATGACACTGGCGTCCCACTCGTAGTTGTATTTAAGCGTGCGATTGTAATTTCGTCAGCACTCGAGTAAAATTGCTTGGGAATGATCTCCTTAGCGACCGTAAACTCAAGCGGCTAATAATCGTGCGGTAAGAGAGAACCGATAATAAGGCCGTTTCTCTTCGGTCGGCCGATATCGATGGTAATTTCTCTCCCCGTTTGTCGCCCTCGGTTTCACACCCCGGCAGAGCCATAAGACAGGGAAGGCGACGTCGACCGGGGCAGACGAGTTACCCCGTAAGTTAAGCGGAGTGCCGCCTTGTAGTGACTCTCGCGCCTGCTAATCCCGGCATTGTGTTACTTTCGCCTAGGATCGTTAACATCGGGGCAGCCCGCACGTAGCATATTTATGCTATCGCGAAATACAATGTGAGGCGATCGGGTTACGCCCGCGCCGCCTTGTGCACGCTTATGTTTCTCGCTAAGGCTTCTTACGGTCGTATGACGTGCGTGCGTTATTGTAGCAAGCAAACCACGGCTTTATCAACTTGCGTACTGAATCCTTGATGTCGGGTTTAACGCAGTCGAATTGCAAACAATCGGCTGTCTGCGACGTCAAAGCGCACGTCGCGTAAGCACTGCGAATTTAATTAACGAGAGAGATAAAGAGAGAAACGCACCATTTGCATTCGCGATTTGCTACGACTTCGTTTTTGGATCGTCGAAATCAAAGGTTTTCATGGCACAAATTACAAATTCACAATATATACACAATATACACGAGACTGCAAAGCGAATCAAAATGGCAAATAAAATTTGCCAACAATTTAATCATCACGGACGTCACAACAATGTAAAAGAATAAAAGTATGCGGAGCATGCGAAACAATGCGTAAAATTTTTGCTCCAAATTAAATCGATTTCTTGGTGAATCGTTCATCAATTCGAATTTGATTTCTGTTATTGCAGGAAAAAAACAACTTCGTCAGTATTCACCTACAATTCGATATTCAGCCTCGAATTAAGAACTGCAACCGATACGAAAATGAGTATGAAATTATTATTTCTGCTTTCTCGTATTATATCATGAGCATGATAGACGTAACGGAGTCACTCCTACATACAGAATAGGACACCCTCTAATTGTGATTAGAGCAATCGGCGGTGCACCGGCGAGGTGTACCGATATGTCAACGAGGAATCCGAAACAATCGTTGATACACAAACATTACCGGCAAACCGCATACGATTACATAACATACATACGCCCAGGCATTCCTCGCTCGATTTTAAAGAGCACACACGCGGCATTTGCACGGATGAGGTAGCTCGGATTCAATTGCATTGACGTTTACGCGCGCGTAAATAATTTAATTTATCTAAATGAAGCTCAAATTAATAATAAATTATCTCTCGCGAACTGCGCGCACCGCCGGCATCCAATGTTCCGATCGAACGATCCACACACATCGAATCGCCCGGTTACGATCACGGTCGATTCCGCGATTCCGCGTGAAGTCCCGCGAGACCTGCAAACCTATCCGACGAGTTACGCATAAATTATCGATTACGAGAGATCGTAGCTCCTTTACGTACATAAGTGCCTATATACTACGCAAGAATATTTGTACACATTAATTAGATTACATCGTAAAATACTTGAATTACCAGTTGTGTAAGACTTCTGTACCGTATTAGCATGTAAAAGCGGCAGAAAATGGAGTTCTTAAACAAAAAGTTAAAGACATTCAATCTGAGATTACAGAGCGGTACGCCTACGAGCCGTTATTTTTCCGATTAGCCAGTATTTATGGCCTTATCTTTGTTACGCCACACCACTCGACGATGTCTCGCGGAGACAGTGAGTCATGTCTTGTTCCGAAAAGGGCACCGATACGCGCGAGCCATTTATGTCGAAGACCATCCCCTGAAGCTTCCTAAAGAAGAGCCTTCATAATCGACGTATCCTTATTGTAAGACTCCGGATCAATATCTATTAGCAATATATTTGATTACTGTACTGATACTATTAATAACATTATTCATCGGAGAACCGCCGATGTGAAAAGCGTATGACACGAACGCGAAAACAGTTTTGACGTTATCAGTAAATCCGAGATATTACTACCGTGACTAGGAGAGCGACCGAAGAAGAAAAAGATGGAAAAAAAAATCGAACGAAGGCAAAACGTAAAGACTACGTAATTACTCTGTCAGGTGAGCGCGCCAATGAAACGAGCGCGTCAATCCGCGCCTCGAGTCGGCTGCGGGCTGGCTAATGAGCGCTTTCGTTTTACAAAATGACGGTAACCGGAGAGGCGAACGTTGGCTTTCGCGCCCGCCGCAGAGTTGCACAAGCGTAATACAACAATTAGCTGCAAATCCCGCGCGCTCGCCGGGACTTTCTAAATTCACGTATACGAATTGGTTCGACAGCACGATAAACCGCGACGCGGTACACGCCGCATCGCGTGCGACGCTCCGTAAAGTAACAGTGCGTGTATGCGCATTTCTTTTTTTCCTGCAGCGTGCAGCTTCATCTCCGAGAGGAGATCTGCATGCAGATGTAAGCGCATTAAAACGCGTGGCAACAATCCGCGCGAGGTAAAAAGTATCCGCTCGCTCCCCTCCCGCGTATACAAACGTGTACTTGTGCACGAACCGTTTCTGAAAAACCGCGACGCGCATGAGAGATCGCGATCGCGTATATAGTTGCGCAAGGAAATCCGATCGTCTCGGTCACGTAATGGACTCGCGAAAAAAGGCGCCGGGCATTAAGGGAGACAAACGACGGTGACGTGGCGATTTGTCCTACGTGCAGGAGAGGCGCAAGAAATAATATAGCGGCCGGAATCGAGGCCGCGACAGGCGCGTAATGACAGTTCGGGTGAACAAATTAACCAAGTGACGGCCATCGGGCACGGCAGCGGGCCGCTAGAAAGGCGACTTTTTGTGAGCCCTTAATGAGCGTTTGGCGAGGCGATTAATACGCGTCGGATGGAGCGATCGACTCTGCGGTCGGTGGCGGCGGCGATATCAATATCGTTGACGCGATACCAACAAATTACGTCTTATGAAGAAAAACGCTGGTTTGTAAATTAAATTAAGAAAAGGAGGTTCACTAAGAGAAAAATGATACGCTATCTCGAGATCATTCGATTCGTTTAAATGAATGTTGGTGTTTGTATTCCTCAAGATATTGATTTCAATTCGGGGAAGACGCGCTTCTAATTGCTTCGCGACCGTCATAGATACGATAGTATGCGGTAATTCTACCCGGTCATTTTGCGCGCCAAATGACGACGAAATCGCGCGCAAGAAATTGAGTACCGTTTCAGCTCGTTCGTGACGGCTTCGTCGAAACGGCAATGGAACAAGACAATCGCTGTGCAGCGTGCGCACGTCAAAGACACAATTTATCGCGACCTAACAGGTAGCCCGACGGCAACAATTTTCAATTAGTTCCATCCGAGTAGTCGTTGCGGGCGAGTCCGCGCGGCGACCGCTTCTCTGTCTGTGGCAGAGAATTTTTGCCTCCCACCCCGTAAATCCTCGATAAAACCGTTAAACAAAAATCGCGACTAGCCGCGCCGCGGGTTTTGCCGCGATCGCCCCACCGATACAGCGCGAGTTCCACTCTATAAATTTATGCGAATACCCGATAAACGCATCGCATACGGTCGCACGTCTCGACGCGCCGAGGCACAATTTTCCTCGTTAACAATGGTCAATAAAATCCTACGTGCGTGTGCCCCGGTGATAACACCGGACGAATCGTGCGATTCCCGATCGCGATTCATCGCGGCGAAGTTTCTTTCATCCCGTCGCGCGCGCAGTTGTTCCGCTTTCGCGGCGCACCGTTTCCCGAACAAAGGCGCGAGCGGAGGCAAGCGGAGGCATGAAGTTTCGCGTTCACGGATGCTGATTAACGATCGCCCGCGATCCATCGTACTTCTTCCTTTCTGTTTACATCACAGATAAATGGCGAGTCTTTGTCAAAAAGTATCGGACTCGTGACGTGTTGATGGGAGGCGCGGGGGACTGAAAAATCTCGAGACACGAGGTGGACTGCACTTTCGTCGATCAGGTTGCTCGTCGTGCGCACGCAGCGCGGACGCGCGACTCTGTTTTCATGCGGCCGGTGCGACAGGGGCAGAAGTAGAACTAAACTGTAAACGGTACTTCATGGCTACGTCCAATAAGTCATGCACTGAATAATGTCATGTGCCTGTGCGAGCGCACACAGGCGTAAAGGCTCGTAAAGGTATTGCAAGGCGGAAAGGCTGGGCCGATTCCACCGCGCGCGCAGCGCGCTGGGCCCACCCGATCGCGAATGCGAGCGGATTAATGGGCAATAAATTCAAGCGCAGGACCGGTTAATTATCCAAGTCATCTACGAAGGCACGGAATGACGTATCGCCCGGCTACGATCAATACGCAAGAATCTCTCTCGCGCTTTCTCTCTTTCTCTCTGTCTCGTCCTATCCGACGATCCGCGTTGTTGTAACTTACCTCGTGAGATACGGGGTTGTTTTTATTACGGCCGGTGTTGGATGCGTTATTAATGGAGGAGAGCGTGGTGAGGGTCGCCGTGCCGACGCCACCGACGGTTTTCTCGCTGACCTTCGTACCAGCACCGCCGACATCCTTGTGTAACGTTCCAGGACTCTGTAATCAGAAGGAACGGGCGTTGGTTATAATGAGCTCTGACATGCAGTTTTTTTTTTTTCTAAATAATGAATTTTTTTACGACACAGTTCGTATTCGATATAATATACGTTACGTAACTTGTTGCACTAGATAACTTTACCATAAATGCTTTATAAAAATTGTAGAACTCGTTAATATGGTCAAACGTCTTTTAACGTGCATCCTCTCACGATATACCTCCCGTTACGAACTTGGTTGAGAAATAATCTATCAGCATTCGCGCTTGAAGAAACAATTATCAATTAACCGACCCACATCTTCGCTGGTACATTAAGGCCAGCCGCGCAGCGGAAATAAAAACTGCAGTCATCTTACGTTTCCTCCCGAAGTTCCGCCCGCTATCTCGACGGCCTTCGTCGCGCTTCGCCACTGAATTACTTCGATATTCCGCCCAGACTACTAATGGCGCGAGATCTCTTTTCGAGACTCGCCCATTTTCGCCTCTACACCGCACAATCCTCGAGTCCACCCGCTTCCCTTTCTTGGCCGCGCAGACCAAACACACGCGATTTAGCAATCGGAGACAAAGCGTTAACGTGGGTGGCTTCGGGCGCAAGCCGAGCCGCGCGTCGGTGTCAGGCGGGACACGTGTGCGGATGCGCATCGCTGCACGTGTGCTTGCCTGTGAGCGTGCGCGTCCGCGATATGCGGCCGATAAATGCACCGAAGAAATGACGCCGCGGGCGATTACGATTCCGACGCTGCGCTCTCATTCATCCTGCGAGCCTCTTCGATAGGATCACGACTCCAGTTGTGTTTGATACCCGGTGATAAATAAATCCTACAGCTTTGTTCCCTCTTGGAAAGCTGTTTTTTTTTAATTGCTCCGCGATTGTTTAAATTACTATACATGTTTAAGAGAGATTCGTCACCATCCCCAATATTTCGAGATTCTTACAGCGCTCGATTCGAGGAGGTAGATATATAGATACTCGTTGCAGATAAATAATGCAGTTTTCGTGGGCGGAACGAAATCAGGCTAGTGGAACGGAGGAGCGAAAAAATATCGATGAGTCGCGTCGCGGCGCGCTTTTCCGCATAAATAACGCGGCGTTCGCGACGAAGTCGGAAAAATCGACGGTCGTCTCGGCGCGACGTAGAACAATCGGACGGCTGGGGACACGGTTTTGCCTTGCAAACAATGTAAGAATAATTAAAGCTCGTCTCGTTAGTGTCGGACAATGGAGCGCGATAGATTCGCCTCGCTGCAAATGTGGCACGGCGCGTGCGTGCAAACGCGCATATCGCCGCAAATGGTGCATCCAACGGCCGCGCCGACGGATCGAAGTCACGTTTTTGTAAAACTTCGAAGGATGGAGAATCATCTGAAAAGTGTGCGGATTCTCGCGTCGTATTTATTCCGAATTGGATCGGCCAAGACGTCTTCCTCGCGACTTGCAAAAAGAGCATCGCCGCTACGTGGCCACGATGAGAATTAACTGTAAGCCCGTAACGGTTCAAAGGCGGCGCACTCATTACAGACGATTTATAATTCGCCATCGGGATCTACGGAACGTTTTATAAACGGTGCAGTGACCCCGCGGCTAATGCGCAGTGACAGAAATCGATGTATTCTTAGGGCCGGCGAGTCCGCCCCTAATTATACGCGAGTCTATAATTATGTATTGATGTTTAATTGGAGGACGACCCTGGATCCCGAGGAAAATAAAAAACAAAAAATCTCCGTTGCATAAGGAACGCGGTCAAGAACCTACGCGATCTCATCAAGTACGTAGATGGGGAGACTCACTTCCATCGGCTCTACTCAACAATGGAAAATAGGTCCAACAGGCCTAGGCTTCCATTTAGGTGGAGCCGAGATTCGTGCCGCTAAAGGAAACTCCAATTAGCGAACTCTCGACTACGCTGTATACCCTTAATATCAAGACGAGTCAATAAGATTTCAAACGTGTGCGCTGAATTAAATTCGTGATAAATTTTTGTATGCAATAAACAATTTACATTGTTACTGATGTTATCGCGTCCGGGGAGGAAAAGGGAAGTAGTGTAGACTAAGCTGGAACTAACACTTGCGTTCACGCGCATGCGACACGCGCGAAATGAGCAAGACCCGTTTATCATGTAACCCAAGCTTTATTTAAACCGAATACAGGGAGCGGTAATCAGAAACCGAAACCGTCACACATCCGTAAGCGGTGACAGCTCCGGTCGAGGCTCTCTTCTGTTGTTTACACCCGGACGGTTGGGACAGAAATCGATTTTCTTTGAAATTGTAGATTTTCTCTGGTCTAGCTGGGGAGACACGAGCAAACGAAACTTCATGAGCGCAACAGTAATTTAAATTCAATAAGTAAAATATATTCAATTATAATGCATATGTATTACATGATTGGCTGACTTTACTTGTAACTGCTAAGTCATTTTAATGCTAAATGTGAGGGTCAGAATACGAATCTATGACATAGGCGGGACAGGAAGTCACGGGGAAACTGTAGGGAGGAGGAAAAGAGCAACGCAGTAAGTTCGTTAGACCTGCCTGTTTCGTTCCATTGTCAATGTCACATCAGCGGACACAACCTTGTGTCACTGTACGGATGGCAGGTCAACGCACGTATCTACGCAACGGTGCGCGTACTTTTTCTACAAAATCAATACTATAGTCAATTGCACGTGGCAACATTCGTTTTAGCCTTTCTCTTCAACGGACGATAGAAATGTGAATAGCGTATATGAAAATACTCGAAAAGAAAATCGTCGAGGAAAGTCATGAACTCCTAAGTTCGCCAATCGATTCCCGTAGCAGAACTTTCTTCCGAATATAGTCGCGATTATCCGTTAATAAAAAACGCTTCCTCACAATGTATTCATAAATGTATTCATAAATTATTGAAGATGTGACAAATCGTGCGAAAAATTACTGTCGAGATATTAAAATATTAACGTGGACTTTTTTCATTATCGCTACTTCACGATTAACTCACTCGACAGATGGCCGAATTTTCAATCTGCACGATTACGGGAAACCGCTGATACCTGAGATGGATTCTCTTTGCCTTAGGTCAACCTTAATGGTTAAGGAGGGGCCGTACAAAGTGAATAGACGAAGTTCGACCCTTCGAGAGGGTCACGAACAGATATATCGGAGCAAAAAGTGCAGGAGAATTGTGTGGGTGAAGAGAAGTGGAGAAACAGGAAGGCGTAAAAGGGGGAAAGCTTAAATTTCAAGTAACTGAATGCGTGAGAAGTACCAGGACCCGCTAGTTCTATTTAGATTATCCACATAATGCATGACTGATGTAGCCCCAGCGGAGTGAGAGACGACGACACAAAACCCCGTAGAGGATCCTTTTGTGACGAACAGAAAGCGTATGAAAGAGGGATAAATTTAGGATTCTATACTGTATCATAACGGAAGATGTAAAATGTCCTACTTTAGATCGCTCGCTAGATGGATAACAGTGAATAAGAATTATATAAAAATTTACAATAGTCATCTGAGAATAAAAAAAAAAAGAAAAACTTATTTAGAAGAAAGAAGAGAAAGAGAGAGAAAGAAGGGAAGCGAGGCTTCTGTGACTAAAAAGAATTGAAAAATTAGTGATTGATCCTGATTTTATCTGGGCAACACATGGGCGAACGTGTCGCAAGGCAAAATTCGTGCGCATATAAATAGTGGTAGGCAGAGAGAAGAGAAGAAAAAGAAGACATACGATAAAGTTGGACACTCTCTCATCCACCCAGCGCGGCACCCTATCATTACGCTCGCTCAGGGGCAAACCTTAATCTCGGGACTTCGTGGCTCTCGATTTTTCTCGGGGCACCTGGCTGCACGCCGTGGCCGGGCCCCGGCGCACCTAGTGATAGCGGGCAGGTGAACAGATTTGCCAAACCTGCATGCATATACACCAAGAGGACCGATCGGCGCTGGCACACACCGGCTCGTCGAGGTTTCGTCGACCTCGCGCGCGCAGGCCAATCCGAACGCGTGGAGAATCATTTTATATGTATACCTGCGCCACGGACGCATGCATGCATGCACGCACGCACGCACGCACACACGGAACACGCGAACACGTGCAGGTCAGCAGATGTATCTCGTATCTGGCACCTGCCAACCTGCATCGGCACAAAGACTTAGACTTAGGGCAGCAGCTGCAGCTGTCCGCGCTGTTTCTCCTGCGAGAGAAAACGAGATTTTCGTAATGAATGCCCCACCTTGCCTGCATGTAATCTTATAACGCGCCGCTCGGCTGGAATATTATCCGCACGAATAAAGATAGCCGCTGTATTATTTACAGCGAGTCCCTTGCCCTAAATAAATTAAAATTGACGATAATGACGTCCGTAACTGCGCATCGCGACGGAGTTCGTAATAAGGTTCGGAATTCCGCAAGCCTCTCACGTGCTCTCGGAATATTCAACCTTGATGACTGTTCATCCCGCGGTAATCGGGATGACGAGCACGACGATGCCCGGAGATGCATTACAATTTCGCGAGTTCTCGCGCCGCGACATTTAGCGGAACGGAATTTTTCCGTCGTTTTTTTTTTCTCCTTCGCATCACCGAGCGCATCACCCTCGGCCCCGCGGAATCCTTAGGAATCCCGAGCGACGCCTCGGCCATATCGAACTCGATAACTCATCCTTCGACAAAAGTCCGCCGTGAGCGGCCGAGATACGAGAAGCACGGGAGCAAATTTCATCAATCTTTTAACATGTCGAAAGCGCGCCAGAAGAATACGACGCGAAAATTACGCCTGAGAGATTACATTTTAAAATTACACTAAATTACACCGCCGCAATTACGCCGCCGATCGCGGTGGCATACTTGTAACGAGAAAGAAAAAAAAACCGTTTATATCGAGCTAACAATGTTAGTGAAACAGTAATTTCAGAGCAGCTTTCCACGGATAGCTTTCCAATTATTAAGCGTTGTCGGTTCGCTTTTACTCGCGAGAGAGAGATGCGAAGTTCGGTCCGTGGAAGCGGCGAGGCAG